ACACACACACACACACACACACACACACACACACTCACTCACTCCCTCACAATCAATCAATCAATCAAACCCCTTTTCTGAAGTTTTTTCTTTATTTATTTTCAAATTTTGTATCTGCATTTTTTTAAAACACCTCATACCCCTGCAAAAAACAGCAATTCATTTTTAAAATCATACAGGTGAACTCAGGGACCATATATCTCATGATAAAAAATGACCAAAAAAAAATCCAGTTTTTCTTTATATTTTTGTTTTTTAATTTTCTTTAAATCGAATTTAGTTTTTTATTTTTTAAAATCCTAAACGAAGTCAGATTCCAAAAACAAAATATGGGGTTGTAGGGCTTAAAATTCCCTACAACCCCGTATTTTATTTTAACCTATTATTTAATTCAAGAAAATTATGGTAAAATCGGGTCCGCGGCGCGAGCCATGTCGGCCGCGGACGCGGACCCACTTGCGTCCGCCATCCGAGATCGGACCCGTGGACGCGTCCGCGGGTGTTTCATAGTCTGGCTGTGACTCTTGCCTCCAGCAACAGATTCAGGCTTTAAGGCTTTGAAGCCTCCGAATTGGCAACCCTCCAGGTAGCAAAGGGCTTGACTTATCCGCCTTGTATTGAAGCCCTAGGAGGGCTGTTTGGGCTCAAACCCGTGCGGACTGAGATTGCCCCCATTTTTAATGAGAGGCTGCTCCGGAACTTGGGTCCAGAGCCCGATGAGACGGCTTGAAGCCATCATCACAGGATGTACAAGCCTGCAGAGGGACATGTATATATATACACAAGGCGAAGTAAGCTGGACAATGAAAGTTATGAGTCACAACAACTCTAATTCCACAGTGACAGCAGAGGAAGCAAAGAAAAGTGACAAGTGGCAGTCACGGAGTGATTTTGGGATTCAGCAGCTCGAGTGAAGGTAGATAGAGGCACACATGGACCCATAACTCAAGTGATGTGAGTGCCCCACCTCCATGATTATATTAGGAAGGGGTGGACCCAAGCAAAGGCACAACAGAGCAGCAGCTTGACATAGCATGAGGCTATGGGCACATAGTAAGACCAAAGGCTTGATACGTGACACTCAGGAGCTTAGGAGTGGACTGAGGTCCGGGAGCAGTTACGCACAGCTACGAGGGGCGTGGAGGAGCTGCCGGTGGGAGTTGCTGCTGCTAGAGGAAGTGCTGCCTGGAGGAGGAGAGTGGAGGTCTGCAATGGAGGTTAAGAGAGGAGGGTCCCATAGCCACCATCTCAGCAAGGGTGGAGGTGTTGCCGGCTATAGCCCCAGTCATAACGACGGTCGTGGGGGAGACATTGCTACTTTTGCGGCAACTGCAGCGGCGGCTCGAAAGCACTGCCGAAATTTTTCAGCAACGGCAACATTTTTTATGGCGGTGCGGATGCGCTGCCCGTTTTTTTTGTGGCCACATTGGCATTTTGACGGCGGTGTGGAAGCGCTGCCCATTTTTTTTGCGCTTGCAGTGGCATCTTGACGGCGGTGCGGAAGCGCTGCCCGTTTTCTTGTGGCGACAGTGGCGTTTTGACGGCAGTGCGGTAGTGCTGCTCGTTTTTTCGACGATAGCATCAACATTTGCAGCAATGATGCGGTAGTGCTGTGCGGCATTTTTTCAGCAGTGAAAAATTGTGGTGATCAATTGAGATGAGCGACAAGTGTATTTTTGTACGCAAGGTCACCTTTATTTTTGTGTGGTACGTTCGACAAACGGTTGAGGGGTCTGAACTGGTTGGAATTGCAGGCGGCAGTTTAGGACCCCTTTGGGACTAAGTGGGGCCGGCATGTTCATGTGGTTATCGTGAGCGAACAGGATGATTTGAGGTGATATGAACTTGTTGTTGGTTGGGGAAGTGTCCTTGGAGCACGTCATGAAGTTGAGATCTGTGGTTCCATTGAGGACCAACTTTGTGAGGTTGGAACTGCAGTTGGAGTGCAAAATGGGGCTGCATTGTGGAGGTTCTGCAAGCAAGATGGGTTGAGGTCTATAACTATATGGGGATTATGGCGTAGTGGAACGGCCACAATAAGAAAGTTGCGAGTTGCACACTTAGGACTTTGGCGATCGTTGTTTTCATTTGATTGGAATATCATACGGTTTTCTTGAGTGACCCGTTTCCATCTTCACTATAGGCTGGTAGAATGACTCGGATTTTCCTTGACACCTGTGTGAACCCACACTTAGCTTGACCTTGTCATTTTGAATGGTCAAAAGAAAAGACAGAAGAAAGTTGTGTGTGTCATGCATGTGAATGGAGTGGTTTGACTCGAGTATGGGATTGTAATGTTTTCCTTTGAACTTGTTTTCTTTGCATGTTGTGCAGGTATGTAGAAGGATGTCTGCTATAGAGATTGACTTCGTCTATTGGAGAAAAAGAAAAATAATTGTTCTCTTTCAATCTTTCACCTGCCTACATGATAAAATACTTGAATTTTGGAATGAATAATTTCAACGGGTACTGTGAGAGAAGTCTATCACAAATGATTTTATCCACTTGTACCTGTCAAAATGATTCTCATTCTGTATCTCACTCAGGTTTTTTACGTCTAAGTTACCGAGAACCGAGAAGGAATGAGAACAATTGAAAACTACTTGCGGTGAACGCATTCTCTTCTCTAGGAAGCATCCAAGGCGGGGGCTCGTACGCTTTCGGAGCCGGCCCTGTTATCAACTTGGAGTGGACCCGACTTGTCGGGGGTGGTACTTTGCCGACTCGGTGATGACGACCCAACCTCTGAGATCTAGTCTTTGGGCTCTGGCGAGGGGAAGGAGTATCCACAGACCACTTCGTAGAGGGAGAGCCATACAACACTTCAAGCCACGTACCTGATCAAGAATCATCCGCGAAGCAACCTGTCATCCAGGCCGGCCTGCCGAAGCACCTCCCCATCAGCTCCCCACCGAGCCGGCCGAAGCACCTCCCCACCGAGCCTCACCAAGCACCTCCCCACCACCTCCCTACCGAGCCGTCCGAGGTACCTCCCCACCACCTCCCAACCGAGCCTACCGAAGCACCTCCCCACCACCTCCCCATCGAGCCGGCCGCAGCACCTCCCCACCGAGCC